TTCCCCGGTTGTACGTGACAAGGAGTATGGTCTTCTGCCCAACCTCGTGGGTTTTCTCCGGGTCCCCCGGTTTCCTCCCACTGCTAAAGACTCCTACGCGCAAGCGAATTATTGAAATAAAAATGAACCATGTGTTAGTCCCGAAATGGCCTAGTTACTGTCGAGTGGACGTTAAGCCCCCCCTCTCTGTCTCTGTCTCTCTCTCTCTCTGTCTCTGTCTCTCTATGTTTACATATTGAACCAGGTAATACAGTCTAAAATCATTCATATAGTAACCTGTCTGGTTTATTAATTTATTAAATCATCAGGGTATTAATTGTTTTCACTGGGTCTATAACATCTTATTCAGCCCAGCAACAGATTGTTAAACTCCATGGGGTCCATTAACTTGAATGAAATTCCAACTCGATTGAATTACAAACGGCATCCACTATATTAATTTGATTTTGTCCTGATTTACTCCAAAGCTAAACGACCAAATCGAGGGACGAGAATTTCATACATTATAAACGAAAGTTCAACAAAAGTAGTACCAGAATACAAAAGAGAGAGAGAGAGAGAGAGAGAGAGAGAGAGAGAGATAAAATTGAACCATACTTTAGTCCTGAATTTACCTTGTTTGTGTTGAGTGGACGTTAAACCCCATTTCTCTCTCTTATTTCTGAATTGAATGAATGTGCCCATTTTGTTTTTTCTGCCGCACTACTTAACTGAAACCAAACTGCATGTCCGTCTGTAAACATGTCAGCGATATCGCTATTATGGAAAAATGAAATGAGGTTTAACGTATTATTGTTCTGCCCCGAACTGTGCTAATGAAGACGGACAAACGTAATACAGTGTCCTATGAGGGACATTTTGCCCGGACAGTGGCACTGCGGCCCAGTCTTATATTGAATTCCAATTGTCAAGAGATTTTTCACGTGCACGTCATTGTGTACACGGGACCTTAGTTTTTCGTACCATCCAAACGACTAGACAGTTGTCCTTGTCAGGCCTTCCGCCCTGTATCACTGACAAGTGAGAACCCCGCCAGAAAATCTGGATTAACTTCTCGGCCAATGCAGAGATCGAACATCCGACCTCTAGGCTAGCTAGCCAGCGTCTTACCCATTTAGCCACCGTGACCCCAATTCACTATTGTGGAAGAGAACGTTAAACGATCAAGATAATGCTACTCCATCCATTGTGAATTTGTTCAGAATATAACTGTTGTTGGGAACTCAAATTTATCGTAAACACGAAACGTATCAAACGCAGAACAGAAGCCACTGTTCATTATCCTTATCTGCAAGACAGCAGGTGATGTCATGGATAAATGATGGACTCCATATATCACCATAAAGACACATTAACCAAATTGTTCAAACAATTAGACATATTAGATCGTCTGCTCAAACCTAATATTATGGTCGTCCCAGTTGGTTAAAGGTCAATGGCTGTGTTCCAGTCGTCTGATAGTAGTGTATTATCCGTGGATTTGTTGTTGATTGTCTTAGTGGAAGATATCAGAAAGTACGCGATATCAGATATGTACATACAGCATGTCTGGGCGTCTAGTCTATTCTATATATGATCTAGAAACAATGGCGGCTGGCTACCTTTACTTAGGATAATTGGATACAAAAGTACAACGAACTTTGCTGGTTATGCAACGGGTGTGCAGAGAGGGAGACAGAGGGGCAACGGCCCCATGCATCCATTGCAGGGGAGCATCTATTATCAGAATGAAATTAAATTAAGTATTTTGAAATTTGATATTTATCACTGTTAACTTGGATATACAAGCCGCCCTACCTTACTGGAGTTGGGGGGGGGGGGGCATGGTTCGCGCGTGCGTGTTGTATCGTAAGGTCTGTCATTGAGTTAACGGGCGTGGTTTCGATTCCCCGGATGTACGTCACAAGGAGTAGGGTTACCTGTCCAACCTCGTGGGTTTTCTTCGGGTCCTCCGATTTCCTCCCACTGCTAAAGACCCCTACGCGCAAGCGAATTATTGAAATAAAATTGAACCATATGTTAGTCCCGAAATGACCTAGTTACTTCCGGGTCATTGGTGTGTAGTCCGAGTACGTTTACGCCTAATTCTCATTTGGAATCTACGGATCTTGACTCTAATTTGTTTGATCGAATTTAGGTGACTTTAATTATTTTGAAATGATTTTCAAGTGATTCATCGCCTACAGTAGAATTAGAATTTAAATATTTATTTTAGAATGTGTCAGAAGATTGGGTTTTGTCTGATTTTTTACAGTCCAGACTCCACATTAGCGAAATCGAGTAAAATCGACCATTTAATCAATTTCCCCGCGTTTTCAGCTGCCATTTTAGATTTTCAAAGAATCATTTATTTCTTCCAATCACATTAAGTGGTTGTAAAGCTATGAAACGCTCAGCAACACCGTCCATGTTTTAAAGAACTTCATTTTCCACGACTATGTGCAGGATTAGAAGCGTTGTCTGGAAAGAATGGCCATAACAAATTGTTGATTTGCTAAATTACCCAAACCAAAAATAAGAAGGGATTAGTCGAGCAGTTAGGACAACGAACTAGAAAGAAGGTACAAATTTGGAATCTGGGAGTTAGCCGGGAAGAACAATGTATTATTGTTGAAGGGATAGTGGGTGTCATTCTGCTCCACCATGTTGAGATAGTGGATGATAGTTGGTTAGGACCTTGAATTAGAATACCGGGGCTCGAATCCCAGCATCATGTAGACGTATTCTAGCGAGATGTAAGGAATGAAATGAAATGAAATGGGGTTTAACGCCCTACTGTTCTGCTCCGACCGGGTTAATGGGGACGGGCATACGCCATACAATGCGCTATGGGGGTAATTTTGCACGGACAGCGGCGCTACTCTTTTATCGAATTCCCACTGTCAGGGGATATTTTGCGTGCACGGGACCTCGGTTTTTCGTTCCAACGAATAGACAGCTGCGCCACTGACAAGTGTAAGTTCCAAGGAATGATATAATGATGCTCCAACTGTTTTGGATTTAGCACTAGTATGAAATATTCATTGATGCAGCAGCGATTTCTGTTCTGTAACCATTATTATAATCACACGTTCGTTGATAAAATGGCTGCTTCCAGTAAATATTAACACAAGGTAATCCCGGAAGACTTTTGGGACAATCTGAGATGAAAAGCAGCTGTATTCTACATCGACGAATTAGCACTGGACGAATTAGCCCACTTATTTGGGATAACTGACATGATGATACACCAGACATTTCTGTTCTAATCCTGGAGGAACCGTCATTGTGAAGACTAGGGAGTATTTACACCGTGATGCACCAAATGTTTAGGAACGGAACCAACATTTGGAATGGCTGAACCGAGTGAAATAAATCCGTGACGCTCTACGCACCTGTTGTCAAACACTGGACGAACCGCCATGAATCCACTCGTGGAATGAAACCCTAATGCACTACACACGGTACACAGACATTTTAAAAAAAAGCCACCACCTCGTCTTGTTAACCAGATTGAAATGAAAATAAAATAAAATGGTGTTTAACGTCCTACTGTTTCTGCTCCAAACTTGTCTAATGAAGACGGGGAATCCACGCGTCGAATGAAACAGTAATGCACCAAGGTACACAAACACTTTATAAAAAAAAGCCCCATCACCTCGTCTTGTTAACCCCATTTGCAGTATTATCATTTGTAACATAAAAAATGTTTGTTGAGCTCGAAATAGAAAAAGGTCTAGACGAATAAATAGTTAATGAAGCCTACATCAAATTGTAAGTGACAGAAGAAAATATAGCCAGTAAACTGGATAACACCCGGGGAATTGGTTTATAACCCGATTAACCGTTTCATATAGTTTTTACAGAAAACATGACGCTTTAATGTCGACTGCTTTTGATTTTATTATAGTAGTGTGACGTGTTACTCAACACTGGCACATGGCCACAGAATGAATAACACGTTACGTCATCAAAGCAAGGGAGATAATTCATTTGAAGTTAATTTGAACACTAAACTTATTTCTATCTGAAAGTGGACCATTTCTAATGACAAGACAAAAAAAACCTATAGAATCAAATTCTATACAATCTGATTAAAATACAGATCTATATTTCGTTTCGTTATTTTTTATACTTTCGATGACCTCTACAACATGAAGATCTGACCGGTTGTAGTGGGAGCGTCAAAGGTCATACGAGCTGCTATGGGGTCAGAAATTTGATTAACCAATCAGCGTTGATATTTCTAGTGGATTACCCACAGTTCCGTGCACCTCACGCCAAAAACTCGCCGTAACAGACCGTTTCATTGGCTAATTCCTCACATCAAGCAGAACGCCTGTTATATAACAAATCTTCCAGATCCTAGTGTTGCGAAAACAAGTAAAACGAAATTTTGAACTATAAAATACGAAACGAACGAGGATCTGTGTTTTAATCAGATTGTCTCCACATACATTGTAATTGACTCAATACTTGGTACACTACATTAAACATACATTATGCAAGAGCTAAATCTGCCTATTTCAGGTCTTTCTTTAGGCCTGAAATGTTATCTAAATTATTAATTAGACATTAATTAACCTATCCAGGCCATAATCAACTCTAGGTGGCAGCGCTAGTCTGCGATCTTTAGTGGATTGTAAGCCGATTTACTGCATAACTTTCCTTCTCGATTAAACGATTAAATGGATAATCGAGACTATGCTGTTTATCGTACTGACTTTAGTAATGATGACCGAGCCTTATGGGACTTTCAGTCGCTTAGTTCTCGGTTCATAGTGGATCAATTTGAATGAAATTTTCACCAAATTGCCTTTACATCATCTAGTTTTTAACTATTATAGTGACAACTGCCAACTCGTTACCGAATCTCCCATAATGTATGTTTAATAAAATACTGTCACATCAATGTAAGTAACTGGCTGTACATTTCCTTCATATCTGAGCTATATGTATTGTACGTATATTTCACATTGTGCAACTATTATCTATATTATACTTATTTTCTTTTATTTCAGGAATTTATTTCCAGATAATTTGATCCTATCCTGTATAGATGCAGTAAGTATATAATATATTGTTTGAATAAACATTTACTGTGTGTTTGTCACAAATTAATCTAGTTTGCGTCGATTAGGCTTACCCCCCCCCCCCCGACTTTTGTTAGTGGATTATTGATACCATACGTCATTGACCTAGATCGGAGCCCCCCCCCTCTCTCTTTCTCTCGGGACGTTATACCGCAGATACCACAAGATGCCACTTTCACTTTGATAAGGAACCACGGAACCACCTTAAGGCGGAGAGAGAGAGTGTGTGTGTGTGAGAGAGAGAGAGAGAGAGAGAGAGAGAGAGAGAGGTAATTTCGGGATTAACATATGGTTCAATTTTATTTCAATAATTCGCTTGCACGTAGGGGTCTTTAGCAATGGTAGGAAACCGGAGGATCCGGAGAAAACCCACGAAGGAGGACAGACGACCTTATTACTTGCCACGTACAAGCGGGAAATCCAAACCACGCCACTTGACTCAAGAACGAGCTCATTGTCTCACGCGCACGTGTTAAACCACTAGACCACCCAATTTCCCGCTCAGCAAGACGATGACGCGCTAACCACGATGTTTCGGTGATGGTCGGGAAAGTGTCTCGGGATTGTCCAGCGTGGTTTCCCCGTGTGAGTGGTGCAGGACGAAAAACCCAGGTCTCGTGTACACGTTCGGGTGCACGGAAGAGAACCATTGACAGTTGAATTCGATGAAGAGTAGGCTCAAACACCACTGTCTGGGCAAAAAGTTCCAAATAGTACATTGCATAGAGTATGCCCATCTTCATTATCCTGGTTTGTGAAGAATAGTAGGACGTTAAACCCCATTTCATTTCATTTCATTTCTCAAGCAAAGTCTGTCTTCATCATCCCAGTTGGATAAGACGAAAGCATTGAAAAAAAACCTACGTAAAAGTTATTATTTAATTATTAAATTAAACATTTTAATTTGTCATATAATAAAGCCGAAATTTTACGGTCCCCCCTTCCCGTGATGCCTTAAGCCTTAATCTAGCACCGCGTCTATGTGAAATATATTTGCTATATTTTAGTATCGAACGGCAGAAAAAAAAGTGTTTATAGAGAAAACGGTGACGAACGAAACGTTAAATGTTACATCAACGTCAACCATATCACCGACTACGTTGGTCTACAACTTACTGAATAACGACACCAATCTAACAGACGCCGATACGCAAGGTAAGGTACAAACACTTAATGCACGACATTTCATAGCACATGCTTAAAGGCTCAATGCCACTCTTGTTGTAACTGAATAATATGTCCCAATCGTTATTCAAGTCAACAAATTGTACTATTTTACAATATTCCAATTAATTGGTGATATAAATTTTATCTTAACACAACTAATTTAAAAAATTGGAAAAATTCAACTAAATGATTTGAAAAGCCTAACGTAAACCTTTTCAAATGTGACTTGGATTTAAAAATATTTTCGAACCCTCTGGACAAGTAAATAGGATGTAATGGATAATTTACACAACAGGTAGGACACTTAAACATCTAATACTTAGAAAAAGGCTAATATTTATTTACTGGAGCTGTCAAGCCAGCAAGAGTGTTATTGTCCCTTTAACCAGAAACTACTGCTCTCTCTAGCGCCCCAAAACATTGAGTCATGGAATCTCTGTGTTCGCCATCTGACCGCAACTAGTTAGTTCCATTTAGGACCCAGCTCACATATTCAAAATCAAAGTAGATAACAAAACAGGTTTAGACTAAACTATTGTCTCGTCCAAATTAAAGCTCTCATCCGAGTCCCCTTCTTTCCGATAAACTGACATAAGTGGCTGCAAAACCTCGTCTGGCAACATCTCTTAGCACAATTTGACACAATAAAACCACGCCTTTCATTAACCATACATTATGCAAGAACCAAATCCGTCTGTTTAGGCTTCAGATGTGATAGAAATTATTAATTAGACCTTTATTTACATAAGCCCATAATCAACGCTCGAGAACATCGGATGACTGGGATACAGCTTGGATTTAAGCAGTCGTCCATTTAAAATTAAATCAATAAATGGCTGACCAAGCGAACGTTTACCGTTAGTCACTGACGTCACTACCGGAGACTACCGATGACAGGCCTGCAAAGCGAGGGTACAGTAGCCATTGAGAATGTCACTTGATAATCGAGAATATGTGTTTGGAGTTATCGTCTGTCAATCAAACGATCAGCATTTCTCGTAGACGGTGCGAACACACTTGATGCCTATTTCTAGTCCAAACTTCCAACAGTGACAACTCCATTCAGAATAAAGTAATTTGACTGCAATTTTCAACATTTTCTTTCTTTATGATCTATTTTTGAATTATTATAGCAAGAATGGCCAACGGTTGATTAAACTCTTGACTAATGTATCATTAACTATTTTACTCCACTTCCTTAATTAATCGTGAGCTGATTTCAACGGAAACCTTTATTCACAGATTGAAAAGATACAAGTCAAATTCATTTAGGCATGTGTCTCAACCAGATGTGTTTGTGGACCCAACCATGGCTAGGGGTAATAATATCCGGGCTGAATATTAACGGATAAAATTATAAATGTTTGATACCGGGTCGTTTTAACTCATCGGTATGCTGGGCTGTTGCCCTGGGCTCTCATGCTGATCTGTAAATAAATATAATTCTGTACTAAACTATAGATATCTTTTATTGTTCATTATGTCACAACTTTATGGATTTACTACTTCTTAGTTTATTAAATGCAACGTTTCAATACTCTTACAGGTATCTTTATCAAGCAATGAACAATAATGAATACACCAATTCATTTATAGTACGTCCATGAGTCAAACAATTTATAGCAATCAAAACATGGAATTAATTAAGACATAATAACGACAACCACCTTCCTATGAATGCCACTTCGGTCCCTTTTCAATCTGTAATAAACGGTGAAGTCATGTAATAAACCAAGAAGTAGTAAATCTATAAATTAGTGTTATTATGAATATTAGTGTGTTACATGTAGACATTTTCATTCGCCTCTGTTTTAGTAGGTAAAGGTTTCACTACACTTCTTTGTCCGAGGTCCTTTAATGCGCTTAAGATGGCCCCGACTGTTCTGTTAAATGTGTTATTATGGATGTAATAACTCTAAATGTCATTCAAGGAAATCTGTTATTGTGTTACACGTGGAGATTGTCATTCGCCTCTCTGGGTAAAGGTTCCAGTGTACATCTCTGCCTGGGGTCCTATAATACTTTTAAGATGGCCCTGACTGTTCTGTTCAATATGTATTGAAAGACTTAACGCTATCCGGTCAATCTAAGGTACCCCCCCACCCCCCAAACAAAACCCTGACCGGTAATATCTGTTTGAATCTTCAACATTTATGACTGCCTAAATTCTTATGTTGCCTAAATTAAATTGCATGTTTTATTAAATGGTCTGACAATCGTTCGCAGTACTGAACGTCCGCTTCCACCGTAGGTGATATCGCAGACCATAAATAGATTCCGGTTATTATACTAGCATTATGTTGTCTTGTTTAAAGTCTTTATTTTTTTCAGACTTTAACTGGGTACCCACAAAGTCATCTACAGGCCAGACGAATGTATTGGGTATTGTCATGTTTTCTATATTGTTCGGTGTGATGTTGGGTCGTATGGACAGTAGGGGTAAACCAGTTCTCGATTTCTGTGCAGTAATCGTGGAAGTCACAATGAAACTGTTTACAGTGTTTATATGGTAAGTTTTTGTTTCCGCAGCGAGAAGGTGTTCCTCGGGGCAGTGGGTCAGGATTTGCCAGCCTGATACACGTCCCTGGAAAAATAAATAAAGGTGTTTGAAGTATACCTGGATAATGATATTTCCTATTTAGTGTAAAAGAGTATGTAAATTGAATAAATGCACCCTTCTGCCCGGACAAGTTTGCGCTACTACTTATTATGTAAACAATGCCCGCGCTATCGAGCCAATGATGGACACCGTGTGATGTGACGTCATATGAAGAAGGCATTTGAACTTCTAAAGATCGACCATCTTACACAGGGTTAGAAGAAGACATTTGAACTTCTGAAGGTCGACCATTTTACACAGAGTTAGAATAAGGCTTTCGCATTACTTCTGTGAAACAGATTGGGGCTAGTGTAGTCAACACCGAAACGTGGCGTGATCGAGCTTCCAACAGAATCGATCTTATATAATATTTACATGACTGATCAGGACACTGAACTATATAAGAGATATGGACGACATTATTCACACACGAGATAAACATGGCTGACAAATTGACATATTCACTTCCGTCTGCCGTGATTACCTTTCATTCATCATTCCTCTGGAAAGGTTTGAAGTTTAATTAGGTGTTAGTATTTACCTGTACTGGTAATCAGTGGTAAGATTTACCTGTAGTTTTCTTGACATTGATTTATCGAACAGGTAATTGGTTTTGTTGTTTTAACCTTCGGTGGCGGGAATCTGTGTCACGCGCAGATAACTCGTTCTGATGACGTTTTCTCATATAAAACACATGTTTCCTTACATTAAAAGATGTAACTTCGAATCTGTGTCACGGGCAGATAACTCACCCTGATGACCTTTTCTCTGGTAAAACACCTGTTGTCTCACCTTAAAGGATGCAACTTAGAGATCGATGTCACTGATTAATGATTGTGGTTTAACTTTATTTATGGTTTTGTTAGATTTGATCAATTAATTACAACAGGAAAACTGCTAAAGCCGTTTTTGTAGAGATATTACAGTCGACATGATGAGATATCAGAATTTAATACATTATGTTTAAGTGCAATAATTGGCTGCTAATGTAAATATATAGCAAGTTAATATTTCAGTCGATTTTAAGATAAACCAATTTCTGCTTTAAAAGGTTTTGATACTTGATACACGTGTTTGGCGTCCGTATTCAATATTATCTTATACCCCCGTCAGACATTGGTGGCGCCTTTACTGCGCTGCTACGGCGACGGAAAATGATCTCAGAGCCCGTCAGGCTCGTCATAGGCTTGGTAAAAGATTCGTGGAAAAACCAGATATCGCGCTGTGGTCTCTATGGTCGCCAATGATCGCCGAGTAACGGCGTTTGTTTTGAGCATGTTCAAAAAACGCCAAGTTTGTAAATTTTGGGGACATTATCTCGCGTTGTGTTGACGTTTGCCGGCGACCTTGTGCATTTTCTGGTGGCCGTACGGTCGCTGCAGCGCAGTAAGGACGCCACCCCGGTCTGACGGGGGCATGCTTAAAACAAACGCGGGGACTAAGCGATCATTCACGACCATGGAGACCACAGCACGATATCTGGCGTTTCCACCCCGCTTTTACGGCGCTTATGGCGATCTTGACGCGCTCTGCGACCATTTTCCGTCTCCGTAGCTTCGCAGTAAGGACGCCACCCCAGTCGGACGGGTGCATTACAATTAATGATTTATGAACCTATTTCTATAGCCCGAACATTAACACTTGTCTTGGGAAGATAGAGTATCTGTCGTCTCTTGGAATGCTTTTGTTAAGTAAAACATGATGAATTATATATTTTGATTTGCAGTGTGACGCATTTGTCGCTCTCTTTTCCCTCATTTATGTCAGATATTTGTTTCGCCACTGCACACAAACGCAGCAAGAGAGAGAGAGAGAGAGAGAGAGAGAGAGGGGGGGGGTTTAACGTCCACTCGACACAAACTAGGTCATTTCAGGACCTAGCGCGTAGAGGTCTTTAGCAGTGGGAGGAAACCGGAGGATCCGGAGAAAACCAACGAGGTTGAACAGGCGACCCCACTCCTTGTCACGTACAACCGGGGAATCGAAACCACGCCAGTTGACTCAATGACAGATCTTATGATACAGCACGCACGCATTAACCATTCGGCCGCCTCCACCCCACCCCAACCGGCTCCCCAATGGTCTTTAGACATCCATAGCATGGGGACGTATTAATTTATTAATGGTGTTTTTATCTTTATAGGTATTCGCCAATTGGTATTGCGTTCCTGATAGCTGCTAAAATAGTTGAGATGGAAGATTTTAGTGTATTGGTGGGAAAAGTTGGCTTGTATTTTATTACTGTGCTGTGTGGATTATTTGTTCATGGTGCAGTCGTTTTACCGGGATTATATTTTCTCGGTGCTCGACAAAATCCATACAAATTTATATATGGTATATCACAGGCTATGGCCACTGCTTTTGGTACATCTTCTAGGTAAGTCTTTTGAGTAAATCCTCTTGGTAAGCCTTTTGGGTAAATCTTCTGGGTAAGAGTTTGGGTACATCTTCTTTGGGAATGTTTGGATACACCTTCTATGGGAATGCTTGGGTACACCTTCTATGTAAATGCTTGGGTACACTTTTGGTACACTTTCTTTGGAAATGCTTGGGTACATCAGTGGGTACATCTTCTACGTAAATCCTTGGGTACACCTTTTAGGTGCGGATTTGAATGCATCCCCTATATAAGTCTTGTGTCCATCGTCTAATTCGGTCTTTAGGTACTGCTTCTAGATACGTCTTGTACTCATATAATCTGTTATTTAGAGGGTTTTGTACCCAATATGCTGTTATGTTGCTTAATGTATTTACAATAAAAGTTGTTGACATCCATGCATATTCGAATTTCAGTTCTGCAACCATGCCAGTAACTCTTCATTGCTTGGAACATAATAATCACGTGGACCCGCGCGTGAGTAGTTTTGTCATCCCTGTGGGAGCCACAATAAATATGGATGGTACAGCTTTGTACGAAGCGGTGGCTGCGCTCTTTATAGCCCAAGTTAACAACATGAACATGGACTTCGGACAGATAGTAACTATAAGGTAAGATGCTCAATTTATATGTATAATAAATGGTATTATCAGTGTAAGTTAATTTCTTCGGAGCTGAACAGCAGGACGTTAAATCTCACTTCATTTAATTTTATTTCTTTGGTTAGTAGGCGTGTCAAACCAGAACCGTGGTGAATCATGCTCAAAGCTTACGATCACTTGACGCTCAGTGTAGGTTAATTTCTTCGAAGTCGGAGCAGAACAGTAGTACGTTAAACCCCATTTCATTTCATTTAATTTCTTTGGTTAGTGGGCGTGTCAAACCTGAACCGCGGCGAATCGTGCTCAAGTCTTACGATCACTTGACGCTCAAGTCATTAGGGAAAGGGTATGCATATTCATGCGGTGAGAAACTGTATCGTTACCTACACTCGTAACAATCGTTTCCCGACATGGCAGTTTCAGAAGTTGTTATAACATTGATATTGGAGAGAGACGGAGAAATGGGGTTTAACGTCCACTCGACACAAACAAGGTCATGTCGGGACTAACACATGGTTCAATTTTATTTCAATAATTCACTTGCGCGTTGGGGCCTTTTTGCAGTGGGAGGAAGCCGGAGGACCCTACTCCTTGTCACGTACAACCGGGGATTAGAATCCACGCCAGTTAACTCAATGACATACCATACGATACAGCGCGCACGTGCTAACCATTCGCCCCGCCCCCATTGACACTGGAGAGTGTATTGCAGACCACAAGAGTTGGAGAGTGTATTGCAGACATTGTCCAATACCCCAATACGGATGTACTATAACAGCCAGACATTAGTCAGTTGCAGCCAACAATTTCCGGTTAGGAAATAGAGGTTTCTTTTAATGTGTCATTCGCAGAACTAGTTTTTATGTTAAAGAAATGGGAGCCACTGTGACCCGATGCGTAAGACAGTAGGGTCTGGCAATGATGGGGTATTATCATTGGGATGTGATGCCAAACAAAAGTCCCGTTGTAAGATTACCAGCATGAAAAAGATTCCATGACAAAATTTCCCCCATTAAACGGGTTGATGCAGACAGGTTTGACGTTAACAACCATATAAGCATTATATGATAGCAAATTTGGGCGCAATCTTTCTTGCACCAGCTGTAGTTTTTAGATTAAAAATGAATAATTAATCTTTTTGTAGTGACTAGTGAAATACAATCTGATTAAAACACAGATCATATTTCGTTTCGTTTTTTTATAGTTCAAATTTCGTTTCACCTGTCTTACTACACTAGGATCTGGAAGAGTTGTTATATTACCGGCGTTTTGGTTGAAGTGGGGGATTAGTCAATGAAACAGTCTGTTACGGCGAGTTCTTGGTGTGCCATGCACAAAACTGTGGGTAAACCACTAGAAACGTCAATGCTGACGTCATAGGTTCAAAAGCCGCTCGTAGGACCCCTGACACGATCTTCCAGTTCAACTTGTCAGATCTTCATGTAGTGTAGGCCATCGAAAGTATAAAGAAAACGAAAGGAAATATAAATGTATATTTTAATCAGATTTATTGAAATAAGATCACCCGATTCAATATTATTACCACCTAGAAGGGGATAGTAACTAAATAAATATATTGATTACCTCCATCATATGAACATAAAGGCCTACTTTTCATAACATGCGTATCTTCTGGTAATTTGCGTATTTTGTAGGTCGGTTATTCAGAATAAATTGAAATATTTTTTTTCTTTTTGTGGAGTTATCTCGATTGTGGCTGGATTTAAATCTTCCGTGTGCGCGGTGGACCTATTTTTCGCTATGGTTAGGGTTAAGTTCTTGTAAACTGTCTCTATAATCCCCATGATGTAGGTCATACATTTACCGAACTGTAAAAATGGGTTGTCGTTTACCTCATTATAGGCCTTTTTATTTCGTTATGATCCCTTTCCAGGAGGTAATAATATTGGAAAGAGCGAGAAATTGGGTTTAACGTCCACTCGACACAAACTAGGTCATTTCGGGACTAACACATGGTTCAATTTTATTTCAATAATTCGCTTGCGTGTAGGGGTCTTTAACAGTGGGGAGATACTGGAGTACCCGGAGAAAACCACGAGGCTAGACAGCCAGCCCTACTCCTTGTAACCACACCACCTGACCCAGTGACAGACCTAGTAATCGACCCCCTCCCTGCCCATAAAATTGGATGAGTTCCTCAAACAGTTGGGGTGTTGGATGGCCGAATGGTTAGCACGAGCGCGCTGTATCATACGGTCTGTCATTGAGTCAACTGGCGGGGTTTCGATTCCCCGGTTGTACGTGATAAGGAGTAGCGTCGCCTATCAAACCTCGTGGGTTTTCTTCGGCTCCTCCGTTTCCTCCCACTGCTAAAAACCCCTACGCGCAAACGAATGATTGAAATAAAATTTAACCGTGTGTTAGTCCCGGAATGACCTGGTTTGTGTCGAGTGGACGTTAAACCGCATCTCTCTCTCTCTCGCTCTCTTTCTCTCTCTCTCTCTCTCTCTCTCTCTCTCTCTCTCTCCTCAAACAGTTTGTATCCCATCGCGATCGGGTTTCAGGTTTCCCTGTTAGACATGAATTGATCGGATACCAAGTATATTTTTCCTCTGACCTTATTAACTTGTAATTAATTTTATGTCAACCAGCTTTTTGTTGTAAATACGATCAATATTTTTAATCTTCTGCTAGTCATATTCAATATTTTCTCGGTGAAATATAATCACTAGAGCACGACAGAATTACAAAACTGTCTGTAACTTAGACTTTGACACATAATGATAAAAATTAACTAAAAACAATTTTTAACAAGTAAAAGTCGGTCATCAACATACCGCGCCATTGTGTGTAGGCATTCAGCACAAAGAGAAGTATATTATAATCTACTTCGAGAATAGAGCTCTGCCCTAAATGACCGCCATATCCGAGAGAGAGAGAGAGAGAGAGAGAGAGAGAGAGATGGTGTTAACGTCCACGCGACAAAACTAGGTCATTTCGGGACTAACATATAGCTCAATTTATTTCATTTGTGCGTAAGGGTCTTTAACAGTGAGAGGAAACCGGAGGACCCGGAGAAAACCCAGGAGGTTGGACAGGCGACCCTAATCCTTGTCACGTACAACCTGGGAATCAAAACCACGCCAGTTAACTCAATGACAGACCGACTATCCAACCCCCCGTATTTTTTTAATGCGGCCCTACTCCGGTTCACGTCTATTATACACAAAAAGACTAATTAAACCTTTTCAGTTTTATTAAATGAAGAATAAATACTTCTCACAATTCTAGAAATATACTTAGTGTTTTCTAATCAAATCGTCAATTTAGGACTTAAAATGTCGGCCAACTAGCTTAGTGTCTGTTCTTAAGCGGGGCTAATTGCAGACAGACAACGTAAGTTTAGTATGTTGTATAGGTGTACATGTATACCAAAGTATAAACCAAGTTTGTTTCCGGGAAATTTTGTAATCAGCGAAAGGCACAACTGCTATTAATGACTTGACGTGTTTACAAAGTTTAATCAAGATATCTTAAACCGTTTAAAACATCAAAATCAGATGTGTTTAAACAAAAGAGATTCGGTTGATGCGTGTACTACGTTTCCTACACTCTGCACACACATACGATGGTATACCAAAAGATTCTGACCTCACCATGAACGGATTGTCCAGGCGCAACTCATCTGCTTAAATGTTAGAAATGTATATCAGCATGAAAGCTTTTGGCAACTAGTGGAAAAGAAATTTTGAAATGGCGCCAAACTGAGAATAAAAACCCAAAATAGAACAACAATAATATTAAATGATAATACTTGACACATATATAAATAATAGAGTATTAAAGCCAGGGGTAACCCAGCAACGCCTCCAACAGCGGATGTTTAATTAATGCCAGAGATGTTTTAATTAAAGAATATATGTCACGTAATTTTTTAATTAAAGGGATATGTGTCAGTGTTTACAGCAGGTAGAATCGCGATAGTCGCGCTCACCCAGACTAATAATATTAACCAAATATAGTTTCTAACAAGACTGGATTAAAGCGACTAGATTGATGGTGGTGATGAAACCTCGCGGACACACATCGCAATCTAGAGATGTACTGAGGCTAGGTGAAGTCACGCAATGCGAATCGACTCGAGTGGTTTGATGGAAGTTTGATGCCTCTGTTGGGATTCCAGTCACATTCCCATCCATCTCACGGGGCTCTAGCCGTAGCACATTAAAACCCTCAAGTTGATATTAAGTGAGTGGTTGAGCATGTGAAAAGACAATATCAGCCATCAGTTTGGTTTAAAGAGCGAACGTGAGGTGAATTGTTATTGCTTCATAAAGCAAGCTCCAGTGGTGTCTATACGGTAATCACCTGTATGGATACACGATTACATGTTCGGTTCAATCGATCCCATTCGTTTATTAACGCTAAAACATCAAACAATTGACAATTACTTGCCTGTTCAAACTTTTGCTTTTTAGATAATAATAAAAAAAAGAATAATTGAATAATTGATTGATGAAATTAAACAAACCAAAGAACATTCGATTAATGAAGCTGACGTGAAATGACAATCACATGGATAACGTTTTATCATGCTGATATGACGTATTGTCGAACGGCGCTCGTCAGCAAAAATTGCATTTAAACGTACGAAATGTGAAGAAAACCGTCTGAACTGTCGCGTCTAGTGAACTGCCGAAACAAGGAACGTTACAATACGAAAGTAAAATTATAGCGACTCGTCTGTTAAAGTTGCATTATGTAAGAATTGGGGGGATCACGTGGCTAAGTGGGTAAGACGCTAGCTCGCTAGCCTGGAGGTCGGGTGTTCGATCCCTGCATTGGCCGAGAAAGTTCATACAGATTTTCCGGCGTGGTTCTCCCTTGTAAGTGATGCAGGACGGAGGGGCTGACAAGGAAAGCTGTCTAGTCGTTCGGATGGGACGAAAAACCGAGGTCCCGTGTACACATTGGCGTGCACGTAAAAGATCTCTTGGCAGTTGGAATTCGATATAAGAGTAGGCCGTAGTGCCGCTGTCCGGGCAAAA